TTAAATTGTGACGAGAACAATATGGGTGATGTTGTGCGAGATCGCAGTTAAAAATTACGAAGATTGGTTTTTTCCTATTGTTTGTTTGATCTAGGGGTGCAGGTATGGATGTAAGTAGTAGATCTGCGTCGGGGGGGTTGGGGCTGTTTAGAGGACACGTATACAACTCACAGACGGTTGGGCTGACAGATACTTGAGACAGGGGTTTAAATGGTCGCACACGCAGTTGTTGAGGCAGGGGTAGACACACACACACACACACACACACACACACACACACACACAAACAAATATACACATACACACACATATACATACAAATACACACACACAAATACACATATACACACACAAACACACATACACACACACATACTTACACACATATATATATATACAAACACATACACACACACACACACACACACACACACACACACACACACACACACACACACACACACACACGCGCGCAAGGGAGAACGCTAAAATTCTACATTCTTCCAAGAAAGTCATGAAACTGGCCAAGGTCTTCTAACACAAATATCAGCCACCGCCTTTATTTAGCAATTAATCATTAACAATTGAAGCTTGTATTACCCTAAGGTATCGAAAAAAAGGTGTGGGGGTAGGAATATAACTTATAAGGGGGGAGGTGGACAAGTGGTCCAAAATTAATAAACGGGGAGGTTGGAATAAAAGGGGGAGGGTGGCACATTATTCAACCTCGTATCCATGTACTTAAGTAGGAACAAATCTGTTTTATTTCTCGTCCAGTGAATATAAGATCAAGAGATCTTGAAATTTTAGTAGTAAGTTATAGCTGTGACTGTGACAACTTTTCCCATTTAGGAACAAGCCAGTTTCATTTTTTTTAAACATATTAACCAATGTACAAAAGTTTTTTAAATGCACAGAAAATTGAGGTAGCCAACCCGGAACCGGTCTAATATGCTGAGAGTAATTTGCCATTCACACACAAAAAAAGAAGTTTCATTCAGATATATCTAGGTTCTAGTTCTAGATTCTAGATAATGTTTCACATGATCGTCTGTCGTGGCAAGCTGAAAAATACATGTGATAAAGGGGGGGGGGGTATGGAATAAGAAGCAAGGGGGGGGGGGAGGGTGCGCTTATTCGATACCTTAGAGTAAATCGTGTGGGTTTTTTTGAAGGGGGGGAGTGTTTTGTTTTGTTTGTTTGTTTTTGGGGGGTAAGTTTTTTATGGCGCTCGCAACTGCATAAGATCATATGAGTATGAGCGCGCGGGACACACCAAACATTTTCAGTTGGTAGGCTAGTTAGTTGGTAGGAAATTTTTAATTTTTGCCCGGGTGGAACCGAAGCCTACTCTTATTGATTTTAGACCACCAAGGGATCTTTAACGTGCACAACTTGCACACAGGACCTCCGAGATTTTTCGCCCTTGTCCGAGAAGGCTAGGTGTAGATCTTTCCTACCAGAAGATCAGGGGTGTGGCTGAAAGACAGCAGTAAGAACTTAAGAAGCCAAGGAGTAGCAGTAGAAAGGCTGCAGAAAGAGTCAGGAACCCAGAGGAGGGGGGCAAAGGAGGTGAGAGGGTGGGGGCAATAAAAATGGAGACGAAAGCAGACGACAAAATATTGTTATTGTTAGAGTTAGAGAGCAGGAAATTTTAAGGAGGTGAAAGGAGACAATTTTAGAGAACACCTTTTTTCCGTTGCTACCCGGATTCGAACCCGTGACTTTTGAATGAGAGGGGAACACCTTAACCTCTACGCCACGAGAGCCTCCAATTTTGTGTTTGTCCACCTGAACTGGTTATGGTAAACATTAACTGGTAGCCTACTTAACTGTAGGAGTGGTGACGCCTTCCAACCACTAGCATCTTTTTTTAAACAGTTAGATCTAATTCCCATTGAGAACAAAGAATCCACGCAATTACGTCATGTAGGCCTTATATTGTATTCCATGCGTACTCTATCATGCTATAAGAAGCTGGCACGAGCAAGCAAACACTGGACGGGTACAGGCCTACAAATAATCCTCATTCTCATTTACGCATAGATCTACTCCTTTCTTTTTTTAATATAATATGTGTTTTTACACCCTCATCAACACAATTTAGATCGTTTTGTAGATTTAGGAGGCGAGCTACCGATTCTGCTTGTCACTGTAAGGGCCAACCCAAGATAAGGTGTAAGAAGAATACAACATCCCAGCAGAAAGGCGGAGATGAAATAGAATCCCCCCCCCCCCCCCCCC